CGTTAGGTAACAATAGTCAATAGAGCATATAGGTTTATAATATATATGGGAGAAACATTAACTATATATTTTAAGTGAGAGAAATAACAATACGAAATTATGAATAGTAGAAGGCAATGAGGTTGTTAGTTAATCAAATTCACGAGTAATATATAATGTGGCAATAATTAATAGGCATCATAGACTAATGAATATGTAAGTAATTAAGCGGATTATTAATTAAAATAAATGAGTTGTCTTATATATTTATTATATTGAAATAATTGTGATAATAATGAGGGATAGAGAATTAGGTGTGGGTGAGTAAATAATTTCATGACGCATTGGCTTAGGTAGGTACGTAGGGTTGGAAGCTGATCGAAGAATCTTCCAATATTTGTTGAATTCAAATAAATAATCATTTGAAATTATTATAATTAAAGACATTCAAATATGAGTGAAAGATGCTGTATTTACAATGAAATTAATTGTTATTTCAATTATTAATATTTTTATTCATTTAGAAATTCCACATGACGATGATCATATCTAATTTTTTAATATTTACTGGGTCGCTTGTGACATAATTTTGATGGAAAAGAAGTGTAATTAATTAATTAAATTACTTAATCCCAAAGATATCATAACACTGGGAATTTGACTTTGAGTGCAGCTGAAGAAAATAATGTATGTCCACCATCATTCATGAATTTTGTGCACATGAACACAAAAATATACTACTATAAAAAAAACTAAATATCACAAGATTATAATAACAATTCCAAATCTCATAATAATTTTTAGTCTTGAAAAGTAAATATAATGTTGGGAAAAGCATGTGAGTAGGTACATATTAATGAGTCAATGAGCCCCATGCAATGAGTCAATGACAAGAACGGGTCCAAGAAATTACAATAGGTATATACTGCTCGTTATTACTACCTCCGATCCTTAATATAAGACCCTGTTTGACTTTTTGTTTGGTCCTAATTATAAGACCCCAATCTATTTTGTCTCTCATATTTATGCATTCTTTTCCAAGATAGTCCTTCTAATAATCATAGTTGTAGCCAATACACTTAATTAGCAAGGATATTTTAGGAATGACAACATTTATTTATTACAAATAACTAACTTAACTTATTTCCTTAATCTCCTCAAATAAGTCAACTGGGTCTTATAATTAGGATCGGAGGTAGTATAAACTTTTTAATTTTTAGTTATTAAATTGCTGGTGTGAAATTTGCAGTAATTTTTTTATAATATTCAATGAGAAAAAAAAAACCTCTTGAATTTCAAAATTTTAAATAAGTCTTATTTACTACATTTTAATAGCAATTAATTATACTTGAAACGCAAACGACAATATATTTTTTATAGTAATTTCTGATTTAAGATTTTGAAATTTAAGAGGTATTTTTAAGGATTTTTTTAACACAAGAACATAAATAAAAAAAAAGTAAACTGTAAAAAAGTCACTTCATCACATGCATGGCAAGCAAGTTGGAATATAAATGTTGAATGAAAACAAAGAGCTCTGAGCTATTCAGAGAGGACTGGTTTGAAGACTGAAACTGGGTCCAAAATTCTGGAAAACCAGGCATGTGATTTGAGAATGGAGATTATTTGACCGTTATGTCCTTTAAAAATAAGAAATATTGGTAGTATTGTGTAGTTTATATATGCCCAGAGATCTGTATCTTCTTAATTTGTGATTCCGTAGAATTCATAAACAAGATTAAATAAATAATTAATCTTGTTTTAGCTTTGGACTGAGTCATACACATATGAATCCAATTAATGACATATTTATTTTTTATTGCAAAAAAGAAAAAAAATAACACTCTGATGAATGGACATTAGGATGACATAACGCCACGGGGAAACTGACAAAAAATTGGTTACATTAAACTCTCATTTAATTTCTTATCCAAGACTCACTCAATGGGTTTGTGTCCACTTAGGCCTGCACAAGCCCTCCATAACCTTCCTCAGGCCCCTCAACATTAAAGACTCTTCTGAACAGTATTAAAATCACGTGAGAATATATCTATATTACTTCCGGCGCTAATTACAAGATATCATTTGTAATCTATAAATGAAATTCTATAATTAAGACTGGAGGTAGTATTACTGAGCCATCAAGGTTATTGGATTTAGTAGAAGAGATTAGTCCTTTACAATATGACGAACCAAAATCCGGCTATTAGGAGAGCTGGTCACATTCGGTACCCGATAACATTTCAAACAAGATTATTTCGGATAGAAGGATACTTGTACCTAGAGAAAAAATTATATTATTGAAAATACAGATTAAATTTCCCCTGAAATTTAAACTTGCACTCTTTGGTTTGGGATATACCAATCATGAGTGGGCTTTTATCATAAAATAGTGATTAAAAAAGAAGAAGGGGAAGTTGATGTGTCTGAAAAGTGTGTATTATTGGGATGAGAGGATAAGCTGAAGGAGTGTGTCAGGTGTTTGTCACAAACTAATAGCTTCTTCCCCAATGTTCCATGTCTGATCCCCATGTGAGTTTCAACCATCGAAGCCCACCTTTTGCAGGTAACAACGTGTGTGACTGTAAGTGTGTATAATATCCACACACACACGCACACATGTATATATAAGAGAGAGCTTGTTGATTCTCCCTGGTCAAACAAAAATTCTTTGTACTTTGACGGGATTAATAAAACATGTATATGTGCAAATTCATTTCCCCCATCTATCACCAGTATTAGAGTTTAATTTTGTGTAGGATGCTACTTCTGATTCAGAATATAACATTTAATTTATATTCCTCTGGTCCTAAATATAAGACCCTTATATTAGTGTGTATAAGGGTCTTATATTTATATATTAATATGTATAAGGGTCTTATATTTAGTATCGGAGGAGTAATTTCAAACCACTTAAAATAAGTGTTTTTATACTTGATAAGGCAAGACTCTTCAGATGTATTCATTTTGTATTACATAAAATCACTTCTCTATTAATGATATTGCTAATGTTATTTAATCTATAATATTAGATGATAATAGAAGAGAAGGGTGAAACAAATAAAGAGAAAAAGAAAAGTGGGAATTGCATTAATTGATTGAAGAGAAGATAGCAATGAGAGCACAACATGTGAGTTTATGTCCCCCTCCTCCATGTGCCTTCATTTCTTCTTTACACACCCATCCCTTCTTGTTCTTCTCCCCCCAGAAAAGACCTATATTTTCTCACTTCCTTCTCTCTCCCCATATTCACCAAGCAATTCCATTTATTCACATATAAATTAATATATAATGTGAAAGCATTTTTTTTTACGAGATTTTAATTTAGTCCTTTAATTTTAAAAAATATATTTAAAATTTTTTTAACTCTAACATTGTTAATAAAAATTAATGATATTGAGATTATAAATATTGATAAAACATTCTCTAATGTCAATGTACTTAGTTTAATTTTCAAAAGAATTATGATTATAAAAAAAAAAATCATTTGAGACAAATAATTTTAGAATTAAAAGACTAAAAATATATTTTTTAAAAATCAAGAGACTAAATTAAAGCCTTGTATAAAGTTAAAAGATCAAAGTTATAATTTTACCTATATACTCCCTCCGTTCCTTATTATAAGAGACATTTGGTGCTTATGGCATGTTCCTATATATAAGAGACACTTAAAAGTTGTCTCTACTTTTTTGTGTTGATTTCCTATTTTACCCATATTTATTGTCTCCAATTCACACACTCTCTCCCTCTCACTTCTCTTTCTTTCAATAATTTAATTGTTCTCTCTCATACTCTCTCTCCTTATTAATGAGGGTATTTTTGAAAAAAAAAATTATATTTTTTACACATTGATTGTTCTTAACTACTTTTAACTGCTTTTTTAATCAACATAATTCGGTTATTCGTTTCTTATAATAAGAAACGGAGGGAGTAATATATATGCAATCTCAATACAATTGTTTGCAGGTTGCGGCCTATGCCAATGCAATTATAGGATTCAGCCCGCCTTCCTTTTCTGCTGCATTCTTTCATATCACTTCTCTTCAATCTATAAAAAATTTATCTTCAACATTACACTAATATTTTATTTTATATAGTAATAAAATAAGTTTTTATCATATTTATTTTAACCAAAATATATTAAATATTAAATTAAACTAAATTTTAGATACCTCCAATTAAGGAAATAAATATGATAATATTCGAAGTTGGATGGATGGTATTGAATACTAGGTAAGTGTAAAAAAGAAAAGAAAAATTAATTATTACCATATATGTATATATATTTTTATCTTTTACGTTTTTCACGTAAAAAAGTTTTAAGTTTCGCTTCTGAACATGTTCACCATAAATGGCTCGAAAGGGCATTAGTTGACCAATGAGTTCCCTTTTGGGCCTACTCCCGAGCCCAAGTTCATGCACCATTACATTGGTGATCCAACATTCCAACCAATAAAACCACGCAGCATTTCAATATCCATATCATGGAAAAATATCAACATTATTCAATATATGTATTATAAAAGCCAATAAGAGTTGATCCAATTGATAAGGAGTCAATTCACAACTCACAAGGTCATAAATTTGAATCCTGTTGCCGATGTAAGGATCTAATTGGTGGGCGATCTATAAATACTTCTGTAAGTACTCTTTAAGTCTAGAGGTATGTTATAGTTCTAATAAGCTCTTGAGACCCAACTTATATAAATTCTTTTTTTGTGTAAAAATAATATATGTATTATAAGAGCTGGGTGTATTCACTGGTAAAAAATTTGTGCACTTTTTCCCTTTTTTTTTTTTTTTAAATACAAGAAGGAGAGGCACCTCTCGCAAAACACTACCCATTATCGTTGGGCCAACCATCAAAAATTTTAAAAAAGAAAAAACTCCTCAAATGGTTATATTATACTACAATATTTGCTTTTTTTGCAACAATACTACGTTAATTTGCATCTCATGTAGATATATTATTATATTACATTATTGCGTGTGTGTATGTATAATAATTATGTAATATTAATTTATTGTTTGTCCCGTCCTTCTTCATGGTTCTGGAGGAATTTTTTGAACCAATGAGCAGATTTCTTTGGGGTCCTCTTAAGGGATTTATCCTCAAAATCAACATAAACCATTCCAAATCGAACACTGTATCCATCCGCCCATTCAAAGTTGTCTAATAATGCCCATTCAAAATATCCCTTTACGTTCACTCCATCCCTGCATTTTATATAAATTTTAATAAATTAATTAGTTATAATAAATATGGCATGATCATAAATTGGGTAAATTAGTTTGAAAAATGATAAATATAAGAGACAAAGTAAATTTAAATCTTATATTTATAATTAAATCCAATTCCTCAACTAACTCCTGTATTTGAGATTGGAGGAAGTAATAAACAAATTAATATGAATATTGGGTTATGTGTAGATAACCTTTTGTCATGAATTTTAAAATGTTCCATAAAGTCACTAAATTATCTATTTTTTCACTAAAATAATATAACTCAAAATTTGAGATTTTTTTTTTGCACGAAATTTTTTTTAAGAGGGTGCATGCATGTGCTCTGTTAGTGAGATATAACAGGATAATTGGTGGCAGAAAATTGACAGTTTAGGGGGGTTCCTTGTAAAAATTTAAAGATCAAAGGGATATTCAGGGAATTTTGTATAACTTAGGATAATTAATTTCATCAGCATAGTTTCATAATTATTATATATATTGTATAAAATAAATTTACTTACTTGATGGCTTTCTGGACTTGAGCAAGATGGCCCTTGATATAATCTATTCTTAGTTTGTCATTCAGGTCCATCTTGCCGGTGTTAGCTTCATCGACTCCTGCAAATTAAATTTGATTCATTCCTCATGAAATTAGTGAAGAAAAGCCAACTAAATATATTATGAGAGCTATGTATTTTAAATTTTTTGTAATGTCTTAATCTCATCAGTGAATTAAAATTAAATTACCATTTTCCGTTACATAAATCACAGGATTGTTGAACTTTTTCTTGGTATAAACCAGAAGCTCATGAAGTCCTTCAGGATATATGTATAGCCAACTTGAAGCTGCCTGCAAAATTTATATGCACACTTTATCAAATAAATACTTAATTATTAACAATTAATTAATATATGAAACCCTAGCTAGCTAGCTTGTATTTAATTACCACTGGACCGATGGGGACTCCATTTTTCTCGCCTAATGATTCAACCAGAAAAAGACGTTAAATAAATGAATTTGATGGTGAATATATATATAATTGTTTTTTCAGTGATTAAAAATATATATATATATATATATATATATAGAGAGAGAGAGAGAGAGGAGGGTTTCCTTAATTACTTGTGACAGAAACACAAGCATCAGAGAAAGCAGTGTGATTAACGTTGGAGCAAGGAGCATCGGCAGCATAACTGGAGCTGTAATAGTTCACTCCTAGGAAGTCATATGAACCTTTCACCATTTTTGATTCCTTCTCTGAGAATTTTGGCAATCTCTTCCCAACTCTCTTCACCATTTCTTCCGGGTATGATCCTGACTTTAGAGGCTCCAAGTACCTTCCAATTTAAGAAGATTATTGAATTATATTATTAGCTTAAAAGAAGATTAATTAATGAGAATTAAGGATAAATTAAACTTATTACCAGCCATAGGTGAAATCGATGGCCCTTGATGCCGCATCTTTGTCTTTCTGAGAATCAGATATTGGGACTTGCCATCCAGCGTTCAGTACTATGCCAATCTTCCCTTTTTGTGAACTCTTCATGCATCAATGGATAATAAAACATAGAAAGCTAATTAACAAATTATGCTGCCCATAAGTTTATGTGAATGGTGTAATGATTAACTTTTGTTCTGATGAACTTCACGTAATACACATAAAACCCTTTTTTTGACATGCTTCACGTGTTTTGATGTTTTATATGTATAAAAACTCTGTTATACTGATCATGGCCGTATATAAATAAATTCTCAAGTAAAATGAATACATTTTCGCGACTGCATGCATCTGGGGTAGCAACACAGAATAGTGATTTTCACATCTGATCTGTTAAATTGGAATAGACGCAGACAGGAAAAAAAAGAAAAAAGAAGTCGTCTTTAAATTAGCACTACCTCTTATTCGTATTATAAGAACGAGTCGATTAATTTAACCAAATTAAGAAAGTTTGTTGAGTTAATTATTTGTAATAATTAGATGTTATCATCTTTAAACTACTCTTGCTAATAATGTATTAACTAAAACTGCCATTTGATTGGATTTTTAATACGTGCAATTACTATAAAGACTATTTTGAAAAAAATGAATAAATATGAGAGACAAAGTGAATTGAATTCTTATATTTAGGATCAAATTAAAAGTCAAAATAACTCTTATATTAAGGACCGAAGGTAGTATTTTGCACTAGTGAAAGGAATTAATATATCCTATTTATTACTTAGTACAGTAGTAAGTAACAACCTGGTACTTGTTTTTGTAGAGGGAGGCTGCGGCGGCGTGAGCGAGAATGAGATTGTGAGAGACGATGTAGGGTTCAGTGCTTGAGTTGCCTGCAGTGCATTTCTTGAGCCAGCTTGAGCATCTTCCTGGGGCAAACAGGCCATGCTCATAGCCTTGTGTGCTATAGGTGAGTGGCTCATTTATAGTTGCCCACATCTTCACTCTGTCCCCAAACTCTTTGAAGCACACTTCTGCATAGTCCTTAAAATCATTCCTGCATATTATTTCACAAACACATCAAAATCCATCTAATAACTCGTCTCTTTGCTTGTATTAGGTCTTATTTTAAAGGGTTTTAATTTGTCTCCCTCAAACTCAATCTAATTACTGATTAATTATTAGTTTTATTAGGTTCTTATCATGAGTACTTCCTCCGTTTCACAATATAAGTCACTTAACTATTATGTAGTTAATGTTTATCTGTTAATTTTGTCCGTGTAAGTAATGCTTCAACTTGATTCCTTGTGCTTTTCATCCTTCACGACCTCACTTAGCGTGATGGGTAAAATTGGAATAAAATTTTAATCTGAGACATATTTAACGAGTTAACTATCATCATTTGTTGATTTTGATGAATTAGTTAAAGTGATTAATATTATAGACTGAAGGGAATATATTAGTGATGAAAGCAAGATTCAACGAAAATGCTTACACGACGTTGGAGCTCAGAAATCCGCCATATTCATCTTCAAGGGATTGAGGAAGATCCCAATGGAATAGAGTTGCAAGGGGTTCCAAACCCTTTGCCTTAATTTCATTGATAAGATTATTGTAATATGCGATGCCTTCTTTGTTCACTCCTCCCTTGAGGTTTCCCCCTGAGATGACAAAACTTCTCTGTTAATTAGTTTTGTTTATCTAAATTTTTGATATTATATGGCAATAAATTTAAAATGATTATTATATACTATATATTTAATTAATTTCTCATCATCATCATCACCAGGTAGTATCCTGTTCCAGGAGACAGAGAATCTATATGCGTTAAACCCTATGTCCTTCATTAATTCCACATCCTCCTGCAAAAAGTGTTAATTTTCTCAAATTTCCATAATATATAATTCAAAAAAATAAATAATTATATATATATGTGTGTGTGTGTGTGTGTGTGTGTGTGCAGCAAAATTAGTTAAGTACCTTGTAATGGTGGTATGAATCGGCAGCAACATCTCCAGTGCTAGAGTTACTTATCTTATCTGATATGATAGATGTACGTAAACATTATGTCAATAATCTCAAAATTAAATCATTAAGTCGTTCATAATGAAGTTTGTGGGATTTTGATTTAAATGTTAGGAACGTGAACGTGATTGATCTCAAAAAACTAATAAGAAAGACATTTGGTTATGAACAAAAAAACACGTTATGTTTCAAAGCTAATTAATCATTATAGTAAAACAAATAAGAATATTGTGTAAGAGGCAATGTGATATTGGAATAATTACTTTTCTGTCGAACGAAGGTGTCCCATATGCTAGGGGTTCTACCTCCTTCCTTTGCTGCGCCCTCTACCTTAATTCTCACAAGAAATTAATATCAATAATCACGTACACCAGATTAACTAATATTAATCAAACAGTTAGAAATGTAATTAATGGAATAATCAATTAATGAAACCTGGTAAGCAGAAGTAGCAGCTCCAAATAAGAAATCCTCAGGAAAATCACTACGTTTAAGAGAAGTCTTTTTTGAATCGACCCCCACAAAGAGGAAGAAAACTAGCAGAAGAATGATCCCAGATTTCATGTTCATCTCTTAGCTTTCGTGCAATCTGTTTAATCTCTTAACTCTAATTATATGGTAATGATTACAAGCTTGTTCGTTGAAGGGTTCAAATTAAAGTGGTGGCAGAGAAAAACATGGGAGAACTAGGAAGCTACCCACCACCCACCACATTTCCCTTTTTCCTTTTTCTAAGTTGAGCATTTGTTTAAAGAGGGACTGATATGATTTATTTAGGCTTATTTTCATTCAACTAAAATTATTCTTATTTTTCAAAATAAGAAACTTAAAATTACCAACGTTTCATTTTATTCCATGCTACTTTTAAAATAAAATTAGCACTCCATGCATTTCAAAAAATTTGATAGTTGTAATGCTACTTGTCCTTAATATAAGAGCTGAATGAAAATTTAATTTGATCCTAAATAAAAGATTCAAATCTATTTTTTTCAATATTTATCTATTTCTCCCCCAAATAATCCTGCAGAGGTGTAGTTCCAATGCACATTAACAATGGCATTTTAGAAAAAAGAAAACTCATTTATTATAATTAACCAACTTAACTAATTTATTTAATTTTGATAAATTAGTTATTGAATTCTATATTAAATATATGAGATAGTATTTATCTATCAAAGACATAATCCATCATGCCATGAAAGGTGTCCCATGATGTAGATTCTCATTCAAATGTGCGATTAGATCCAAAAAAGAAATTTCTCTTTCATGATACATTTCAAAACTTTCAAACATCACCCCACAATCAATCACCTTCTAATGATTTATTTCTTTGTTTATCTCAAGACAAAAAACCATAGCTTATTCACAAACATTAAAGGGATTTTGCCTGAGAAATACTTATGGAAGCTTTACTTTCTTTTCGGTGAAATTCCATCTCTAGGTTTTCTCATCTTATCAGTTGTACAGTGGGAGATCCCACCATGCCTGCCAAGTACGTTAAGTATAGATGGATTTTAATATGCATGATTTTCAACACGTCTTGAAGCAGCGCTGTCATCAAAATTACAAATTTAGCAGTGGAGGAAATGTGTATCCATCAAAACTTCTTTTTGTTTTTGAAATACATCACAAGCATCCATCTGCTGAATGACTCAGTTTTCATCTTTCTAACCAACAATATATTATTGAACATATATACACTATAAAGAAGACATGAGTTTAGGCGTCTGGTACTTTACTAAGGAAGATATTTGTCAGTATACTTTTATGTGTCGTTGCTAACTCCCTATTTGGATGGGGAGAAAAAAAGAAGAAAGAAAACTAGGAAAGAAAATAGGGAGAGAAGTGTGTTTTCTCCTGTTTGGATGGGGGAGGAAAAATGAGAGGAAAGAAAAGTTGGAAAGAAAATAAGGTGTGGGACCCACCATATTTTTCTTCCAACTTTTCTCTCCACATATGGAGAGAAAATGGGAAGAAAACTTATTTTTTTGTACTTGCCCCTTTTCCTTTGTGTGTTCCTTTTTTTTTTTTTTAATTCTGAAAATTTGCACACGTACCTAGCCGTGCCTCCCATCCTAAACTCCACTCAAAATCATTCTTCTTAATACAAACGCAAGGGCTAGGTCCAAAACACCATCGTAGCTCCATCATTGCTTCGACTATCAGGTGAATATTTCCTTTTATCCCTACTCCATCTTTTCCCTTTTATTTTCTACTCTTTTTCCTTTCAACCATTCTAATTCATGGACCGTGTCCCTCATGATTTCACGTTTGAGATAGGAGAGAAAATAATTCCTTTGTACTACTGCTACTAAAATTTCATGGTTTTCCTGCAATTCTGCTTGAGTTGATAGAATTGGGAGATAATTTTAGTTCCCTGATGTTGACTTGATGCTTTTGCTTTCTCTCTCTTCAAGATTGATTCTTATCCATGTTTATTATTGTGGGAATGTTTTTGCTATGGTTCTATTTTGGATTTGGAATGACATTGGTTTCGAAGATATTGGATCATGTTTAATTTATATACTTCTTTTAATTATATTTCATTTTAAAAATTATCCACTTTGTAACCTTCAAAAATAATATTTTTCTCTAAAATTATTTGGTTTAAAATACAAAATTATGAAATTATATGTTTATCAAATTATTTGATTATAAATTTTTTGATCATGTTAACGTTAATATCATTTTGCTATTCTAATATTGATTTTGATTTTAAATATGATATATTCTTCTATATAAGGATATTTTGGTCATTCATGTTTTTGCTTATTTTCTTTTTTCTCTATTTTCTTTCGTCTATCTAAACAAAAAAGGTGATAATATTTTCTTTCCAGTTTTCTCTTTTCTCTACTTTCTCTCCTCCCGTTTTCTTTCCTTCCAATTTTTCTCTCTATCCAAACGGAGCATAATGATTTTAAAGTTTTCTGTATTTTAAAACAATACTTTCTTGGTTAAAAGTGGGAAGAGTTTCTTGATCTTTCTTTCCATCAGTTCTTACAAGTGATATAATAAATCATATCATATTATAAGAGTTGAGTTATGATTGGGCTATCAGCTCTTATAAGGCGTGCTTCGTTCCCCTCTCCAACTGATGTAAGACTCCACAATCCACCCCCTTAGGGCCCAATATCCTCATTGGCATACCGACCCAAACTTAGCTCTGATACCAAATTGTAATGTCTTCAAGTACCAAAGTATAGTTGTAGCCACCCCAAGGTATTGCTTGTAGATATTGTCTGCTCTGATATAGCCGTAGTCACCTCATGGTTTTGTTATGAAATCTCACATTGGGTCGGTGTGGTAGCAAGGACGCTGGGCCCTAAGTGGGTGGATTATGGAGTCCCACGTGTCGCTCCCAGGTATTGTTCGCTTTGGTGAAGCTGTAGCCACCTCACGATTTTGTTTCCTTGGGTGCAGTTGTAAGCACTAGAAAAACGCGTCTGCAAGAGAAAGATATCCGCACCTTTATAAGACGTGCTTCTTTCCCCTCTCTAGCTGATGTGGGACTTCACAATCCACCCCTCTCAGGGCCCAGTGTTCTCCCTGGTACATCAACCCGAACCTAGCTCTGATACCAAATGTATATACGTACCCTTGTAGGGTGTGTTTCATTCCCCTCTCCAGCCAATGTGGGACTTCACACCTGTAATATCCCAAATTTTATGAATTTGAGTAAACCATGTTGAAGGATAAATTTTCAGAGAAATTATTGAGATTAAGACCTTTCAAATATGGTTTGAATAATTATAAAGTTAATTTTAGGAATTTAGGACCTATTTTCTTGGAAAAATAGTTAGAGGATAATTTTTAAGCTGAGATTTTTAGGATAATTATTTTATGGACTAAAGAAGCTAATGGAAGAAGAAAATCCATATAAAATATCCAGGTTTGATTTATGGAATTATTTGACTATCTTGAAAAAAAAAATAGAGAAGGATCAAATTAAAAGAAAATGAAGACCAAAGGGCATGATGGTCATTTCACGTCCCTTATCCTTTTTAATCTGTCAAAACACGTTCTCCCTTCTCATTCTCCTCTATTGCCGACTTGACTAAGAAGGAGAACGAACATATAGAGCTTGAAGGGGCGAGAGGAAGACGAATCATCATGAACTACTGGAGAAAGAATCAGAGGTGTTTTTCTTGCATGTAAGTGTGCTTTTCTAATTAAGGTGAGTCCCTTAGGCCTTCCTCTATCCTTGTTTTCTTTGATTGGGACTTTATGGGAGCGGAAGAAATAAATAAAAATCCTACCCTAGGGAGAGAAATTCAAGAATCACATGAAAGCTTTGATCGAAGCATAAATTTGGAGTTGTGCGAGAGTATTCCTGCACTTTTATGCTGCTGTTTGTGTTCATTTTTTCTGGTACCTGATTGCCGAAACAGGGGATGGGTGATTCAGGGGGGTTAGCTTCGGACTTTTCTTTCCTTGGGTATAAGGCTGAATATTGATGGAATTGAAGACAAGTTTTATAACCCACATATATAGGAAATTGCTCTTGGGCTGATTCTAATCTAATGACATTCTCGAAGACATCTTCAGACCCAACATTCCAAATGTTTTATGTTGATACGTGGCCTCCATACTTGAAAGGAAAATGAAAAAGAGATAGTATGATTATGAAGATAAAATAGTGCTACATAATATTTTGGGGTGAAGGCTGTATGGTTTAATGGAAGAGGGAGTTATTATTTTGTTTGGGTTAAAAACCGCTGGATAGGAAAGGGGCAAATTGAGTTTGAATATTTGAATGCTACATGGATTGGAAAGTGATTATTCTTTAAATATGTAATTTTAATAAGAGGAGGAATTGTTGAATTTGAGAACTAAAATCTGATTCGAAGTTTATTGGGTTGTCTTCTCAAATGCTGAATATTATTCTAGTTAGTGGACCAACCTTATTGTGAACAATGATTAAATTTTATTACAGTAAAATGAGCATTTTAGAGGGGCAAAAGATATCCATATATTACGAAATGGAGGAATGATGTTAATATTGGGATGTTGCAGCTGAAATTAAATCACTTGGCAATGATTTGATTATGTATAAATGGGGAAGTATTTTCGGTCAAGTGGGTTTAAGAGGAAATGTAATCTTAAACTAGGGGACATTAAAGTAGGAGATAGAATGATATTGATAAAGCTGGAATTTTATAAAAGTATGAAAGAAATACTATTGCTATTATAAATTTTAAGGACCTTGAATATTCAAGGTTGTTGATTTATTTTTGAAGCCTAAGAATAAATGATCTATATATATATAAATATTAATTTGCCCTTCCGTATATAATTTATAGGATTTGATATTTGTTCAAGTCCATTAAAAAGGGAGCCAAGGAAGAAGCAAGGGGAAGTTAGTACGGAAGAAAAAGCAAAAGCTAGTAACTCTTTTCCTTTGATGTGATTGTGCATCGATTGCTATATGCTTGGATGTGCCTTTATACTGATTGTATATGAGAACATGTAAGTTGCCTTTGCATAATAATATTTGTCATGACAATATGCATTGGTTTCCATTTATTTTGGAATGTGGGAGCGATAGATAGCGATTAGCTATATGG